AATGGATTTTTTTATACCTAGAAAATATAGACAGAAATAATGTCACTTAGATGTTTATTGACCTGAATGTGTGGGCATGATCAAATGATTAGTCATCCAGGTCACATTAATTTTCACAACCTCTTGCAGGTACAAAACCAGAGAGCAGGTTGGTAACATCTGTCTCTTAATTTCTCTCTTCTTCAATTTCCTTATTTGAATATTGAGGCTGATACTGTTGTGTTAGCTGCCACCAGGTGGCGATGTTACACAAAGTCTTTCTCATTTTTCTTTGTACAAGTAAGATTTTAATCTTGGTCTTGAGGTTTTGTTCTCCTGGTAAAGTATCTTTGGGGGAGCTGTGGGAAGCAACAGGGGTGTTTGCTCTTGCCTTAATCTCCTTAACTAGTCAACTTCTGGAAGTCAGGCATTAAGGTTTGGCTGACATCCCTGAAAGAGGTATTCGCCTACATGCTGTTTGTGAGAGCACCTGTGGTGTCTATAGTGTATAAATAAAATAAGATACACTAAAAATAAACCCAGATTTCATGTTATTGATTCCTCCTCCAATAGAAAGATGACATACAGGGCCTTGACATCTGCTGTCACTCACAGAGGCGTGACAATGCTTACTTCTCCAGAGTTTTGTGGGGCTTAATCAAATAAAGCCAGATTATGCCACATTAATCCAGACTGAGTTGCACATTACTGCATCAAATTGATGTCAATAGGACAGCCCACAGAATATAGTACTACTCAATGTAAGGGTGGCAAATTCTAGCTCTTAATATCTAACGAAAGACTTTGACATCCTTGGATTTCAAATCTTTGGCACGAGGGAACTGCAAAGGGGAGAGACAAACTTGGTTCGTAGATTATATCGGAGGGAAGAGGTTAGTGATGTGAGCTACTCGTTGAGAATAATCAAAAAACCTGCCAGTGACACCAGCATGTTTTCAAATAGTTCTAGCGTAATACAAGTGTCATGTAATGGGATGGAGTTAATCAGTAGTGTAGTTAAGACTTGCGCAGTTCTTGGGAGCCCAAGTGAGAACAAACTCCCACAATCCCTGTCCTCCCTTGGCCAAGGAAACCGTGCCAGTAACAACTGTGTTGGAAGACTTTTGTCCAGTGTGGTACAGGCAGACAGAGTACATAGATTAACATTACAGTATATTTAGTCTGGGATTTTCAAAGGAGCCAATAGGCATCCAACTCCCATTCACTCTCAGTGAGGAGTTGAGCACTTAACTACTTTATGCCCCTTTGAAAATCCCAATCTCCATGCTGAAGCTCAGCAAACTCAGGCTTCAAAGGACTTAAAGCTAGAAAATGAACTAATTATTCATGTCTGTTCACACCAAGGTGAGGGCCCTTGTCAAATTATTCTTTGTTTCCCCTATCACCAAAAGAAGACAGTCTAAATTATTTCTACGCATCTCTGTCAATGAAAGTTAAGCAAGCAAATAACATAATGGCTCTACTGCAGCATGGTTGGATTTATAGATACGAAGACCAAAACAAATGGGATGGTATGCATCTACACACTGTTTGCACAATCTCATTTTCAAAGTAGGATGATCAAACACATGATGAGCCCAAAACTAGCTGGAAGTGGTTGCATCTACTTGGGGAAAAAAGTCCTTCCAGCCCTTTGCTTCTTTCTGAGTGTTAGTTTGGATTCGAAGTTTTTGTAGTCGAGTAGCAACCCATTTTTTGATTACTTTTGCCTTTGTACATCCAGGTTATAGATAAAGAAGATATCCTGAGCTTAATCTTGATCATTTTCTTCAAAGTAACCTGAACTTTCCCTTTAAGCAAGTCTTTATTACAGAAGATTTGTCACATTTGATAGTGGTACAGAAACAAAGAAAAATCCTTTCCCCAGCTCAAAAGAGCTTCATCCAAATACTTTATTCTCAAGCTTTGGGAATGTGGGTTGTAACAGAAAGATACAACAAGTATTCAAATAGAAAAGAAAGAACAAGGGCCTACTTCAGATTCCACCACCAGCCAATTCTTCAGCTGCCAGTTGTAGCAAATTGCCTCATCTAAAGCTGTCCCCTCTCAGACTGCCAAGGTACTGTTTATAGAGTGCTCTGATTTAACTCTGAGCTTCCAGTTGTGCCTTCAGCCACTTGGCCACCTCATTAAGCCCAGCTTCAACCTGCAGGACAGATGAGCAATTAGTTAATTCATTTGGTACCAGTCCTAAGATAAGGCCTGTGCACCTGCCCAATGTTCTCCTGATGGCATGTTAAACTTCCTTCCCTTATGCATGGCTCAGGCAGCTAAATGCAAGTTAATGATCATGCCACTGAAAAACTGTGGTTTAACACAGGTATTCTGCCGAATTTGCCGCTCTCAGACACCAATATATCCAAGAGTGTATAAGATTGCTGAACATGTAGTCCCTGCTCCTTTTGCCTACTGGAAGCCCTACTTTGAAATATGTTCACCTTAATGTGTCTAAATGTTGTAAAAAGGCGTATATGCAAGTAAGACCAAATCCGAGCATCCAAAAGATTTCAGGAAGGCCCATATTTGACACTAGGTTTTGAAAGTATTCTAGTAGCTAATTTCTTACTCTTTGTAGTGTGCTGTTGTCCAGTGTTTTGGCTGGTCTGTGATCAGTTTTGAGCTCTTCCTGATAGGAATTATGTCTTGGTCTATATTCTCTAATGCACTGTGTTCATCTGTGGTTTAACACAAATGCTTAGCAATAATAAGTGCATTGAGACAACGGAGAAAGGTGGAGTAAGATTGTAAGATTTTTGGGACAGGGCTGACTACTATTTTGTGTCTGTACAGTTCCTTGCACAATGGAGCACCATTCTTGGTTGGTCCTTAGTCACCCCTGTAATAGACATGATTAATAAGTCAAAAGACCACAAGTTCTATTGTGGGGCCAATTCTGATCAGTCTCTGTGGATAGTGCTGGAGGTGATTCTTCACAATCACTGGATGAAATTGGGGAAATTATAGTGGCCTCATAGGAGCTTTTGCAGCATGATTGACAAGTGATAGCAGAGCAAGAGAGATCCATTTGTAGACTAGCATATGTATGATGACATCCGTTTGTATACCAATAGAGGCTTGTGGTATCTGGAACTATGGTAGAAATGCCAAGAGTGAGACCTAGGTCTAGGCCTTCCTTAACATTAGGAAGAGAGTGAAGAACTGGGCCTTATTCAGTAAAAGAAAATAATGTACAGCTTGTTTGTATTAATTTCCCTGTTGTATGTTTGCATGTCACTACTCCAGGAAATGATGGATATAGTAAAGGCAATTTATGATATGATGGGCAAGTACACATATCCTGTTCTCAAGCAAGATGCTCCAAGACTGCACGTAGAAGTTTTCTTCCAGGTACTTAGTTGATTTCTAATGCATTTCTCTTGACACTTAGCTACCAGCAAAACCTGAGCAATGACACTCAATCATTCCGAATTTCAGTGGTAGCCTCTAAGTTTGGAAGATACTGTAGTTTTATCCAAGTTACAAAATGACATTCTACATATGCAAAAATATATCAGTATTATGAGAACTAAAAATGTTTCTTTGTTTTGTTTTGCAGAAAATGGATAAAAACAAAGATGGTGTTGTAACTCTAGATGAGTTTATTGAATCATGTCAGGAGGTAAGGACAATCTTATTGCTGCCATGAAAGCAGAGAAGATGGTTTCATGCCGCAATGTTCATATCCGCTCTGGATTTCAATCCACTCCAGGTCTCTGGGTGCTCAGGATCCCAGGTTTCATTCTATTAGATGTTCAAGCCAGCTGCAAAATTCAGCTCTGGGTTCTGATCTGTGAATCTCCCTAAAGATCAGAGTGCTTGCTACCTACATGGATTTGGTGCAAAATAGTCACTGAATACAGACTGTTCATTTCCAGTGCTGATGGCCAGTGCTTTTATTTTCCAAGTGAATTCCTGATTCCTTGTTACTGTACACAACTCTTAGGGAAGCTCCTGGAGCCTTTAACTTATGTAGAGAGACATTGTCAGCCTCTCAAAAACAGAAAAATATGCAAGTGGTTTTTTTTCTGGATAACATTAACAGGGACTACCACAATGTCTGAGCTGTCCAAAAGCATAAAATCTGCCTAGGAACCTTTCAGTTACAACACTGACTCATAAAACTCATTGATGTTCAAGGTCAAATGTTAAAAACAAGTACTGTAATCAAAATGATGATTTTTCCAAAATGAACATCTTTGACAAATTCCATAAATTAAACTGGCTGTGGTAATTATTTACTGTTATTTTAGTGCCTACACAAAGACCAGCATCTGCATGAACATGCAATTAGCCCAACATCTATTTTCTTGGACTCCAATTAACTGTGTGACTGTTTGGTCAGGGATGTTTCCAGTATTTAAGCAGTGCAATAAAAGCCTGTGCCTTTTATAGAGTTTAAAACGGCACTAATTATCATTTACCAAGCATCAAGCTTTCCCTAGAAACTAATTCTTGTTCTCTAATCAAAACATTTCAATTTTTTCAGGTATTTTTGGGGGGGCGGGGTAGGGAGGGAAAAGGGAGTTTTCAACCAAAGCAATTGGGCAGTTTCAGTCACCCAAATCTGCATTTTTTTTGGTGAAAAAAGTTTCCCATGAAAAATTTCATCCAACTCTTCTCAGGAGTGTGCAACTCATCCCTCATTATTAGATGACTAATGCAATGTCTTTTCAGTTTGGTTGCTTTATTCTTGACATCTTCGGTTTCTTTGCTTGGGTTTTGGCCCCTTCCTTAACTTTTCTTTATCTGTTGCTTTGTTCCCAATTTTTGGTACCAGTGGAGTATTAATTAATGGTGGTTGACTTGTCTTGTGGTTTCTAGGTTTGCCTTGGGGCTAGATGTGTACGATCATTGATATAAGAAATTTAAGCTGCTTCACTTTCCTCTGAGATTTTTTTTAAATGCTCTGCACTGTGGTTTCTGTTCAGTGCTTGAATACCTTGCTGTCGGAATGCGTCTTGTAGATTGATAAAATACAAGGATCGTTTCCTCTCAAATAGGTGACTCCAAAATTTAGATTTATCTTTTTTAATTTAAAAAATAACCCTGTAATGAGAACTGCAGATGCCAGGTGTCTCTGAGAATTTGCCTTGTCATCAGTCAACCCGTAGTTATTAATATTTTGTGGATGTGGCGTCCCATGCCATGTACTGCACTGCACCATCCCCTACTAAGGAGTCACATCAGTAGCTGTAGTCTACTCCTATGCTCATTTTGGGCTGGTGCAGAGCAATGCTGCTCTTGCTATTAAAAGTGTGTGTGGTGGGGATTATGGGAGTGGGATTATGTTGGCCTCTAATCTGCTACCTGTGGAAGACTGGGCTTGAGATAGCTCTCTGTTTCATCCAGTCAGTGTTCGGGATTGTTGGAGGCCTCCACAGTACTGATCTGCGGCTGATGGGAAATGGATCCAGCAGAGAGAATCCTATTTCTTTGCAAAAAATGGGGGTGGGGAAAAACCGGATTGTATTGGACCTCAAACAGTTCCTCTGGTGACTGTGGGGGGAAATCTAAATTACCCTGTGAGTATGGGATAACAACAAGAGATTCTTTGAGTACATCAGAAGCAGGAAGCCTGTGGTAAAAATCTAAGGGTCCAAAGAGTTAAAGAGAGAAATTAAGGGACTTTGCTGAGAAAAAACATTACTGAGAAGCTAAATGATTTCTCTGCATCAGTTTTCACCACCCAGAATGATGGTGAGAGTCCTGCACTGGACCTGATCTTTCCTGGTAACAAAGATGAGGTATACTCAGAGATAGAGGTGACAGCTGAATTTGTGCAGGAGCAAATTGTTAATTGATTTAAAATATAGTAAGCTGCCAGGCCCAAATGGTAGACACCCAAGAGTTCTGAAGGAGTTGAAGTATGAAGCACCTGAGCTGCTAACAAAAAAATATAATCACTCATTAATAATAGCTACTGTTTCTGAGTATTGGAAGGTAGCAAATGTTTTTGCATATTTAAAAAAAGGTTCATGGGATGATCTGGGGAATTATAGACTTGTAAATTTTACATCTGTATTGGGCATACTGGTTGAATCAAGCATTAAAAATAGAGTAACAACACATTTGATAGTTCATGATCGGATATGGTCTAACCAGCGTGGATTCAGCACAGGAAAATCATGTTTCAGTAATTTCTTAGAATTCTTTGAATGTGTCAGTAACCTGGGTGCATAAAGGACAACCAGATAACATACTTTATTTAGACATCCAAAAGGCTTTGAAAAGGTGTAAGAGGTGAAAAATTTTCTTGGATTAAAAACTGGGTAGGAGTCAGAAAGCAAAGAGTAGGATTAAATAGTCAATTTTTATCATGACAAAACGGTTAACAGCAGGGTGCCTCAAGATTCGTACTAGGTCCCATGTAGCTTAGTATTTATTAATTAACTTGTGGGGGTGGGGCTGAGTACTGAGGTAGCAAAATTTGCAGATGATACAAATGTATTTGGGTTAATCAGGACCAGAGAAGACTATGAAGAATTTTAGAGACCTAAACAGGCTAGGTCAATGGACAGCAAGATGGTAGATGAAATTGAATGCTGACAAATGCAAAATAAGGCACATTGGAAGGGTTAAAAATAAACGACTGTTGTAGTTAATTTAGAAATCTATAAGGTGTAACAACTCAGGAAAGGAACCTGGGTGTCAGTGAAGCAAATTCAATTAAATCCTGTGTTCAATGTCAGCTGTGGTCAAAATCCCAAAATAATGTTAGGATGCATAATGAATGGGATAGAGAATAATACCAACATTGATGCCTTTTATATAAACCAATGTGCAGCCTCCCCTGGAATCCTGTGCACTGTACAGGTCACCTCATCTCAAAAAGGACATTTCAGAATTGCAGAAGGTTCAGAAAAGAGCGGCAAGAATAGTCATAAGCCTGGAAAAACTTTCCATGCAGAGAGATTGAAAGGATTGGGGTGGCCTACCTTAAAAAGGAGAAAAATAAGAGAGGGCACAATAAAGGTGTATAAAATAATGAGTGGTCTAGAGAAAATAGGTTGGGAGCTTCTGTTGTCCCTGACTCATAAGACATGAGCAAGGGACATTCAAATAAATTAAAAGGTGGGAAATTCAAAACCAATAAAAGGAAATACATTTTCACATGACTTGTAATTAAACTGTGGAACTCAATGCCACAGGAAGTCATTGACACCAGGAATTTAATAAGATTCAAAAGGGGATTAGGTATTTATATGGCTATCAAGAATATTCAGAGTTGTTCTAATCATTGATAATAGAAATTTCAGCAGGGCTATGAAGCATTGTACTTCAAGCTTTAAACCCATCTCTAACTATTAGAGGTCAGGATGAGACGTATGTGGGGGGACAGATTATCCCAGATTATATGCTTGTTTGTGGGGTTCTTACACCTTCCTATGAATCATATGGTTCTATCCACTGTTGGAGACTGGATGGACTAGATCCTGAACTAAGTGGACCTTAAGCCCGATCCAGTCTGGCAATGCATATGTTCCTATGATAGGCTCTATTCTGGGGAATTAGAGCAGTGGTTGCCCTAAAAACAGGGGCCCTGATTCTCCACTGAATTGTACCTTGTGTAGCCATTTATATCTGTACAAAGTGAGGGCAAATTGCTACCAAACCAGACTGCACAGGTATAAATGATGGATAAAAATTGGGACAAGAATGTTTGGCATCTGCTGGACCTTTAGATGTTGGGTTTTGAAGACTGTCACCCCTTGCACACCTGATTTTGAAGTGCTGTAAATGGGAAAGTGATAAGCTACCATCCTCTGGTTGGATAGCACTGACTGACTGCTCTCTCTGGCTGTGCTGAGCCCAGTGAAGATGCATACATGGATGTTTGCTGGTGAGAGAGCAGATGAGGGAAACAAAGTTAGCATTTACGTGGGACTAAAGCAGGGGTGGCTAAACTGAGCCTGAGAAGGAGCCAGAATTTACCAATGTACATTGCCAAAGAGCTACAGTAATAAGTCAGCAGCCCTCCATTAGCTCCCGCCCTCCAGCCCCTCCTGCCTGCCGCAATCAGCTGTTTTGCATGCACAGGAGGCTCTGTGGGGGAGGGGGAGGAGCGAGGGCATGGCAGGCTCGGGGGAAGGGGCCTTGGGGAAAGGGGTGAAGTGGGGGCAGAGCAGGGAGTTGAGCAGTGAGCACCCCCTGGCACACTGGAAAGTTAGCATCTGTAGCTCCAGCACCGGAGTCAGCAACTATGCAAGGAGCCGCATATTAACTTCTGAAGAGCCGCTTTGAAGCCACAGGTTGGCCACCCCTGAACTAAAGGAACTGCTTGTTCTGGGCCAGATTCAATAAGAATTCTATTCTGCGAATGCAAAGGATTGTGCTGCAGAGACCATGTGGAATTTTTATTGAGTCTGTCCCATGTTCATTAACAGTGGGTGATTTCTCTAGGTTTTATATTGCAAAATCTGTATAGGCATGAATGATTCCATGGGTGTTTGTGACTGTGCCCATTGCAGCAATTGCCGAATCTCAGACATCATATCATTCAAAGAGGAAAGACGATCTTGTGGGTAAATCACTGAACTAGGATTTGGGAGATCTGCACTCAATTCCCGCCTCTGCCACAGATTCCCTGTGTGACTGTGGGCAAGTCATTTAACTGGAGTGTGTCTGTTGCCCATCTGTAAAATGAGGAAGATATTTCCTTCCAACCATCCTGTGTGGATGTTGCCTGTTTAGATTTTAGGCTCTTTGAGGGAGGGACTGTCTTCTACTTTGTGTCTGTACAGCACCTCTCACATTGAGACCTTGATCTTGGTGTGTCTAGGCGTTACACAGCGATAACATCAGTAATTCAAATTGCATAGTGTTATAATGGTTTTTAATTTAACAGCAAAATATGATTTTATTTTTTCAAAATATACAGCCTCTCTCTTGTAAATCTGGCCTAATCAAAAGAAAAACAAATTAAGATCATGCCTTCTAAAGGCAGAAGAGAGAAAACTAGAGACCTCTGCTTTATCATGGCAATTCAATTGAAGACTAAATATATGTCACATTACCATTGACTAGTAAAACCCACTTCCTTTGCCTAAACATTGATAATATCTGATAGTATGATAGTATTTGACTTAACTGTGGTAGAGTGCAGGGGCTATTCCTTGGTCCATGGAGAACAAGGAGTCAACCTCAGTTCAGCTCCCGCCCCCTTCCCCTTGCCCAGCCATTCAAGGAAAGGACTTGGGGATGAGGTGGCAGAGAAAGGAGTCTGTTTGAGAAGCAAAAATTCCTCTGTTGCAGAAGAGGGGAAAGAGGGAAGGGGCTGAGTCTGCTCTACTACCTCCTCACAGACTTTTCCCTGGTTATTGATAATAGCCTTCTTAAATGGCTGCCAACCAAGACTAAGATCACTGGTATCTTGCACTGTAGCTCAGCTAGTTCACAGTGCATCATAGATCAGACCAAAGTCACAAATTTAAAGAGACAGGTGGGTGGAAATATAAAGCTCTATCATTTGACCCAGCTTTGGGTACATCAAATATCAAGCTCCATAGTAAATTTGCCTGATGAGAAATGTTTTAAATCAGGTTTTCCCCATGTATAACCCTAATTTTGTCATTTGGATTCAGGAGGTGGAAATCAATGGCATTTGAGATTTCATGTATTTCAATCAGGAAGTGGCTGCATTTTAGTGGTGGGTCAAGTAATCCCTGGGTACAGTTTGCATATCAGTTTAAGGCCTATGACTTCAATTGGACAGTTCAGGCATGTAAAGTTAAGCACACGTGTAAGTGTTCAAAGTCAATGGGGCTCCATGCAGGCTGCAAAGTCTGCCCACTCGGAGCTCAGAACAGGCCCCACTTCAGTAAAGAACTGAAGCATGAGCTTCAGTCTCTCATTATTCAGCAAAGAATTTAAACCTGTGTTTAACTTCAAGCATATGCCTAAGTCCTACAGACACCCACTGCATGCTGCCTAATGTGCCTAAGTGCTGTGCTGAATCAGGGCCTAAGCTTGTAAGCATTTCAGGCTCACCTAGGATGAGTGGTGCTACAAAAATGTAGCCACCACATCTTGCAGCAATGAATATTTGGTACTGGCTGTGCTGCAAAGTGCCATAGAAAGCTTTAAGAACACAGCTTTTCAATTATCAGAGGGGTAGCCGTGTTAGTCTGGATCTGTAAAAAGCAACAAAGAGTCCTGTGGCACCTTTAAGACTAACAGATGTATTGGAGCATAAGCTTTCGTGGGTGAATGCCCACTTCGTCGGATGCATGACCACTTTTAAGTGTATGTTTTTCTCATTGCTTCCAGGATGACAATATTATGAGATCCTTACAGCTCTTTGAGAATGTGATGTAACAGCATCTAGAATGCAGCATAGGAACCAGAGACTTTGTACGTAATGAAAACCGTCTTTCTGGACGAAGGCTTTTTACAACTCAGCTATGTTGCGTGAACAAGGATTGTGTAAGGCATCTCCAACTGAGCTTCGTTTCCGAATGCAACAAACTCCCATCTCTCCTCCCCAAGAGACACTGACTGGAAGTTATTTCATTTTGGAAGCATGCTAATATTTTAATAAAACCTGATGAGTGAGACCTGCTGCTTGAAGTTTAATGAATAATATACAACATTCTGTTTGCTAGTCACAAATTCTGCTGCTTTTAATCTAGCAAATCTGATTACATCTGGTAGCACCATGTCAATAGCTTGCTAAGCCATCTATTGTGAGTGGAAGCTCAGTCCATTCCATCATAGAACAACGTGTTGTATAAATGTCCTCTTTATTTTGCTTTGGCAGAAACCTAATGTACCAAGACATCTATGTTTAGATTTTGAAAACTAACACCAGATTTATTTACTATGTTAAATGGAGGGTCCAGTTCATTTAAAAACCATATATCCCACTTTACTCAACATTCCTGATTTTTCTCTCACATACACTGGTGTTACTCCATTGAATTTCATGGAGTTGCTTCTGATATACACCAGCCAGAGGAGCATTAAGCCAATATACATTAGAAGAGCAGAATACACTTTTCCATATACAATTTCTACACGACAGAATGAATCCCATTGAGTAACATTGAGTTCCTGTAGGAGAAGATGATTTGAATGGTCTGGAACTTTGGGGGGCATGCTTTTACCATTAAATGCCCACCAGTATTCCCAGCCACAAGGTGGGCCTCTAGTTTACAGTATGCATCTCCCACCAGAACCGCTTCAATGGACCATGGTCCTTTCTGTATGGTTTGGAACACCGTTAATAAATACATCATTTGTAGTTTTACATTGTTTTAAAGCAAGGTATTTCCCAATGTTTGGATTTATTTGAACTTTTAAATTTTTCTTCTGAGATCCCTCTTGGCTGCAAGAGTAAGGGAATATGTTTGGCCAAATGCAGAGAGGCAAATTAGATCTTAGTACTCAGCAGGTCAAGTAACTGTCTCCACACAGGTTCACAGAGGGCACCGGGAAGGCTGATTGCACTTGTACAGCAGAAAGCAGTTGTGACAGCAGGCAGGTAAAGGCAGAGGAACCAAGGAGGGAAAAGAGAACAACCTAACATAGTCCAGGATTGCCATAGGCCTCCCGTATAGGAAACACCTATATTTTTATTATATCAGAGACTATATTACAAATATACTGTCAGCACTGAAAATATATTTTAAATATTAGGTAAGTGGAAACTTTTTATAATATGCAAAATATATGGAATCACTTGTTTCTATAGCCCTATATTTTATAAAGCCTATTGATCCACAGACATATTGCTGATGTAGACATAGTTCTGATTGATACCTGTGCGATGCTGTGCTTGCACCACCGTCGAGGACACTCCTGTAACTCGTCCTGGCATACACTTACACAGGTGCTGTGCTTGACTCATGTGAGTAGCCCCACTGAAGTCAGCAGGGCTATTCAAGTGAGGAAAGTTTTAGTGCAGGCAGGACTGGAGGCTTACTCTGCTTTTCTGGCTACCTCACACCAAACACCACCAATGAGTTTGTTCCTACAAAAGATGTAGGACATGGTAACTCCCACCAGTGTGCTGTGCCTTGCAACGGGGGTGAGATGCTGTGAGGGTAGCACAGTCCAGTTGTACTATGTCTCCTCCATCTAGCTATTATCTTGATGAATAAGTTTGTAGTAAGTCAAAGGTGGAATAAATCAGAAATTATATCTTATTGCCTCTTCATTTTTCTTGCAATCCCAGCTTAGGTACAGAAGCTTAGATTTAATGCAAGGCCAATTTATTTACACAAAGTGCAACTACAAATTTTCAATCTGAATTATTAATTTCATTTTACAAGAAAACAGCCAAATAAAAGAAGGAAAAAAGTGATTCAGAGTGACAGACAGTGTGTATTTTCTGTAACATGCTGCATCAACTCTGCTCACAAAATGGCAGATGCAGCCTGTGGACTCCTAGAAATTTAAAGATGTAGTACACAAACTAAGATTACTAGAGAGACAAGGTGGGCGAGGTAATATCTTTTATTGAACCAACTTCTGTTGGTGAGAGAGACAAGCTTACACAGCGCTCTCCTTCACTTCAGCCTCACCCATCTTGTCTAATATTCTGGGACCAATGTGGCTACAAGACTGCATACAAAAATAAGATTATTTATGAAAGTTGTCAGTTACATACATCCGAAGTGTGTGTGTTTGTGGGAGGAGCGGGAGGTGTCACAAGAGCCCATAGACTGGGAAAAAACACTAAATCAAGACAGTTCACGGAGAGGGGGTGAATTTTAGGCACTGTCTTATCATAATCTTAGACCAGTAGCTTTGATAACCACCCTTCTCAGACCACTGTAAGCACAGTACCTGAGGCCACACCACAATACCTAAGGCCAAATTAATTTCTTGGGTAACACCATTGAGTTAAGTAGAATTACATCAGTGATGAGTTTGGCCCCTGATGTTTTTCTTGGTATAAACTTTCAGAACTGCTATAGTAATGATGCAAGTTATCTTCTTGTTAGCTGGAGACAAAACTGTAGTGTGTTGATTTGTTAATCTGTGTACAGAGTCACTGCTGTACTAGCGTGTACTATTGTCCAGACTGTTCTAATGTTTATAAGTACCTTCTGCTAAGTTTGGCCTCGATTCAGCCACACACACAGCTTTAAGCACCTAAGCGTGTGAGAGGTCCCATTGACTTCCACTGGAATCATTCATGATTGTGTATTGCTGACTTGGGGCCTGAGTTAGTGGCAATGCTGCTTTAGCTTCTCTTTTGGGGAGCCAAAGGCCCTGGGTACTGCTATTGCCATTAACCATGGATTCTGTATGTGTAGGGTGGCCACAGAACATCAAGGCCCTAATTATGCTCCCACTGAAGTCAATGGTAAAACTCGCTTTGATTTTAGTGGTGCAGGATTGGGCCCTATGACAGAATGATAATGTTTCTACCCTGGGTTGATACTTCAGTTCCAATTACTGTTACTAATACCTAAAATAGCAGGATTAGCACATCTGGCAGCTGTATCTTCACATATACTGTAGAAAGTATTGGAAGCCATTCCCCCTTATTGAACAGTTCTAGTTGTAAATTCAAATGGTGACAGAGTAACTTTCTTTAAGAAACCATGTATTGTCCATTGTATCTTGTATCTCATCACACAATTTATCTGGCAATGTCTCATCCATAGGCTGGTATGCATCGATGCACAGTAAGCCTTCTCTTTATGAACTGTTTGCAAAGCATGCGTGGATGAAAAAGAGCCAGTAACTGTGAGAGAATTTTATTCTGCTTGGAAATGTCTTTTGGTTTTAAATTCTCTATGAATGTTAGTTTGTAAACTTCCCATGATTCATAAATGGGGTTTGCAATATTTATGGCAAATACTTACTACTGCAGCTTATTAAATAAAACATACTGTGATAGTCTGATCTCATCCCATCATGAATCCTACTACCTGTATTTGGAAGGCAGTTACTGTGCTGGTTTCTAAGTTGCAATTAGAATATCCATCAGTGCTATCAGCTGTACATGTTTTCTCAAAATTTTGAATGTTTAAATAACGGCCAGATGATTTGTCTGACTTAATTCATTAGTTAATCTACATAACCGTGCCAGCAGTTTTAAAGCACATAACATGCATATTAGGCAACAAATCTATTGAAAATAAGAATGTCAATAATGACGCAACAAATGTAATGTGTCTGCTACTTTTGATGTTAGTTTTCCTGTTACTTTGAAAGCATTGCAATGTTGTGAGTAATCATGAATAATGTGACCCATGATGATACTGATATCATAAGAGAAATGTCAATGTTCAAATGCTTTAAGCAGAATATTGGTATCCCTGGATTGTGACACATGCTGAACAACAAACCACCATTGTGTCAGCCTAAGAACTCTGTTGATGCGTGTGCAGCAGTGTAACTTTTTTCTTCATCATGGAAGTCCCATGATTGACTTAAGAAGTATGGGCAAATAATATAAATTGTGCTAACTGAAGCCATTTTACTGGAGCAGCAATGCATCGCTTCACAAATGCTATTCTCCGATGGCAATTTGTATGACATTTTGTTGAACGGTTTTAAAGATTTTGAGTTTAATAATAAAAATAAAAGATGTACAGGAGGGTGTCTTTTTGTGTGCTCAGGTCTTGATGGGACATTGTCAGGTTAAAAATCCTGGACCAGATTTTTTAAAAAACAGGTCCCTGTTCCAAACACACATACCTGTGTATGTGCCAAATGGTATTGCTGAACTGGCACTGTGAGCATAACATTTACCTATACATGGGTTATGTGCATGTCTAACTTAGGGGTGCATCAATGTATGGGTGCAAGGGCATGCAGCTAACTCTGAAAATTTTCTCCCTAAATATAGATACTAACCCAGGGGTCGGCAACGTTCGGCACGCGGCTCGCCAGGGTAAGCACCCTAGCGGGCCGGGCCAGTTTTATTTACCTGCTGACGCGGCAGGTTCGGCCGATCGCGGCCCCCACTCACAGCGGTTCGCCGTCCCGGGCCAATGGGGGCGGCAGGAAGCGGCACGGGTGAGTGATGTGCTGGCCGTGGCTTCTTGCCGCCCCCATTGGCCCGGGACGACGAACCGTGGTGCATGGGGGCCGCAATCGGCCAAACCTGCCACGTCAGCAGATAAATAAAACTGGCCCGGCCCGCCAGGGTGCTTACCCTGGCGAGCCGCGTGCCGAACGTTGCCGACCCCTGGGTTAGTATCTATATTTAGGGAGAAAAATTTCAGAGTTAGCTGCATGCCCTTGCACCCATACATTGATGCACCCCTAAGTTAGACATGCACATAACCCATGTATAGGTAAATGTTATGCTCACAGTGCCAGTTCAGCAATACCATTTGGCACATACACAGGTATGTGTGTTTGGAGCAGGGACCTGTTTTTTAAAAAATCTGGTCCAGGATTTTTAACCTGACAATGTCCCATCAAGACCTGAGCACACAAAAAGACACCCTCCTG